GGAGGAGGAGGAGGAGGAGGAGGAGGAAAAAGAAGAAGACTGTAGGGTCCTTGATGCTCTCTGAACTTCGTCATTTTTTTGCAGACATTTCATGACCAAACTAGGGAATATCATCAGTGCTAGAAGGGAGGGGTGCTTGTGGAGTGGAAGAGAAGGGGAGGAGGAGGTGGTGGTCTAGGACTGTAGTGGTTTTCTTGCAGACGTTTCATTACCCAAACTAGGTAAATAATAACTAGATCTCAGAATAGCATCATCATCTGGGAAGGAATAAAAGCAGAGGCAGCACTAATGAGGAGGAGACATTCATTCTGAATGGACATTTAAGCAAGGAAAGAAGCAAGAAGGATGTTACCCGGTACGGGTGATGAAACGTCTCCAGGAAAACAAAGAAGCCCAGAGAGCACCAAGGTCCCCTCGTTATAAGGATTAGAAGCAACTTTTTCAGGGGTCGCAAACGGCTTCCTGATCTGAAGAACTTGGTTCCCAGTTCCTGCAACGGTTCACGATATGTTTCAGCCTCCTGTAAAATTCGTTGCGGTCTCCATAGTTGGATTCTTCCCTCGAAGGGGATGGGAGGAAGGGGGCTTCCTGTCGTAACCTTCTCTTCCTCACGCCTCCCCCCCCCCCCTATTGCTGCCCTGATCCCCAGGAGAAAAGCTTTGAGTGCAAAATGTGTGGAAAGACGTTCAAGCGGTCGTCCACCTTGTCTACTCACCTGCTGATCCACTCGGACACCCGGCCGTATCCCTGCCAGTACTGCGGGAAGCGCTTCCATCAGAAGTCGGATATGAAGAAGCACACCTACATTCACACAGGTGGGCAGGGAAAGCGGGGTGGGTGGGTAGTGTAATCGATGGGGCTCCGACGCGCCTCGGCATTAAGGGGTGCCTTTCTTCCGAGAAAAACAAATGCTTCGCAGATAGTCCTCCACTTACAACCACAATCGGGACCAAAACCTGTAAGCCAGAGGTCCCCAACCTTTGGGGCACCAGGGACCGGTTCCGCGGAGAGAGGTTTTTCCGTGGACCGGAAAGTGTGTGGTTTTGTGTGCTGCCTGCATCCCACGGATGGGGCTTTGCTTGTTTGTGTGGACCGGTTGCTGGCATGCCGCGGCCCGGTGCCGATCCACCACTGACCGGAAGGTGCTAGGATCGGTTGTGATCTAGAAAGGTGAGACCGGGTTTTTACTTTCTTAATGTTCCTTTTCTCTGTTCTCGCCAGGGGAAAAGCCACACAAATGCCAGGTCTGTGGCAAAGCCTTCAGCCAAAGCTCTAACCTTATTACGCACAGCCGCAAGCACACCGGCTTCAAACCGTTCACCTGCGAGCTCTGCGGGCGAGGTTTCCAGCGCAAGGTGGATCTTCGGCGTCACCGGGAGAGCCAGCACAGCCTCAAGTGAACGGGGATTCCCGTCTTGGCATTCGCTGTGGCAGATGGTCGGGAGCGTGCGGCCCAAGAGCTGTCGGCAGTCCTTGGCCCAGATTGTAAATCCCACCCACTTTGGCTCTAGCTCCACCCGTTTTGCTTCTGACCCCGCCTGCTTTGGGCCTTGGCGCCACCCACCGGTGGAAGGTAGATCTCAGATTGAATCTACAGCCGGGAAGCCTTTGGCCCATCTTAAAAGCCCCGTTGGGTTAAGAGTGGTAGAAAAATAAGAAATAAAATTCCCCTCAAGCTGAGATGTGGAGAACAAAGGAGCAAGGATGTGAATTGGTTTGTGAAGTCAGAGAGAGAGAGAGAGAGAAAGAGGGCAAAAGAATCTGGATTTGCCATGTTTCTGTGAGTTTCGCAACGCAACAAAGTTCAGATTAGAAGACTACGTTAACGGGAAGTGTTTAGTAGATGTAACTAGGTTGAATAGGTAAGGCAAATCTGCAAAACTACCCATAAAAAAAAAACCAAATCAGACACCAGGTTTCCGTGGTGGAAGACAAAGGATCTGGTGTTCAGGATATTTCCATCGCTATCCATGATTTGCATGATCCATTGTGCAAAAGTATGAAGATTTTGCCTCTGTTTGAATCTCTGTTTCCTGAGGGGGAAAAAAAACCCTGAAGTCAATAAATGCTGTTAACAAACTGTTTGAGTCATGAAACCTCCTTTGGCATTGGCGAAAGAGATCCTTCTCAGTGTTTCACACCCCAGGACATATTCAGACAACACACTGAACCCTAATCCAGGTTAACACGACATAATAGATGTGTTCACACCATAGATGTGTGCGAAGAACGAAGTCAGCTTGGGGCTTAATATTTCAGGCTGGGTCACACTGCAAATTAGGACGTGGTTTTGTTCCCACAAACACAGCAAACTCAGGTTAACCAAAAAGATTCAATCATGAACATGTTATTTGTTTAGCAACGGCAATGATTCGTTTAACAAACGCCTCGCTTGACCAATGGAAATTCAACCAGGTTCGTAAAATAAACCAGGACTCTGTTGGACATCCGCCAACTTTGGAAAAGAAAGCCCGGGGCGATGCCATGGCGGCATCCGATGATGTCATCAATGTGCACAACATCACCCTATAATTTGTCTCCCTGCATCCCCCCCCCCGAGGTTGGGAACCTGCCAGTTTTTTGGGGGAGGAAAAACAGACATAAATACAAGTCAGTTGCCAAGCATCTGAATTTTGATCCTGTGACCACAGGGGGTGCTGCAACGGTCATAAGTATGAAAAATGGTCAAAAGTGCCTTTTCTCCCTTCTCGTTGTGACTTCGAGCAGTCACTGAATGAGCTGTTGTAACTTGAGGACTATCTACCTCTAATCTACAGCTTGTTATGGGAAAACAGCGGAGAGGAGTAACAGTAAATACACAAAGACACACACACATGGTTTTTTCCTGGAAGGGCCCTCCAGCCATCACTTTGCATGACCCTGATTTGCTAACCAAAGCAGGCCATCCACAGATCAGGGAGGTGTTGCGCAAGAATTTGGAGAACTGGTTTCTCTTGGATGAGATTTTGGCATCAGCTCCTGCCTTAGCTAACTGTCAGTCAAATGTTCCAGCCTGTGGGGGGGGGGGGAGAGAGAATTGTTAAGGGAGGCGAACCACAAAAGAAGTGTTGTTGGAGGTGGGATTCGAATTTGCATGCTTACTTCTGAGAAAGAAGAAGTGTGTTGATTCCCATTCATGAGCCTTTGGGTCCAGTGGAAGATTTTGAGGGTGGAGGAGGAGAGGGGGTCCTGAAATACAGGTCTCTCTTTTTAAAATAAAAAAAAAGGGGGGGGAGAAAAAAAAACCCAAATAACTTTTATAGATTTTAAAATAATGAAAAGCCAGAAAAACATATAATGAAGAAAGAAGACAGAGAAGAGAAAAACTAAAGAGAAGAAAGAAAGAGAGAGAGAGAAAGAGGAAGAGAGAAGAGGAGAGGAAGATAGAAGAGAAAGAAAAAGAAAGAAAGAAAGAAAGAAAGAAAAGAAAAGAAAAAGAAAGAGGAGAGAGGAAGAGAGAAGAAATGAGAGAGAGAAAAAGAAAGGAGAGAGGAAGAGATGAGAGAGAGAAAGAAAGAAAGAGAGAGAGGAAGAGAGAAGAGATCAGAGAGAGAGAAAAGGAAGGAAGGAAGGAGAGGAAGAGAGAGAGAAAGGAAGAAAGGAAAGAAGGAAGGAAAGAAAGAAAGAAAGATGGGAGAGAGGAATTGAGGAGATGAGAGAGAAAGAAAGAAAGAAAGAAAGAAAGAAAGAGGAGAGGAAGAGAGAAGAGATGAGAGAGAGAGAGAGAAAGAAAGAAAGAAAGAAAGAGAGAGGAAGAGAGAAAAAATGAGAGAGAAAGAAGAAAAGAAAGAAGGAAAGAAAGATAGAAAGAAAGAGGGAGGGAGGGAGGGAGGGAAGGAAGGAAGGCAAATGACTTTACATATACATATTTGCAAATACATATTCCTGTAGAAAAAGCTTGCAAAGCAAACAGGATTGATGTGGGAAAGTGCAGCTTGGAAATCTGAAGCGGTGGAGGGGTTGGGTTGACGACCCGTGTTTGGAGTGATAAGTTTATCGGGCCTCGCCGGCTGTCAACGGTCAGACCGCCTGTTTGGGAGGAGAGGGACCATCTCCCAGGGCGAGATAGGTCAGCCTTGGTCTTATCAACCCCGGTCTGACTGAGAGTCCCCCAACACCTCTCCTTCCCCCTCCACACAGGCAGATTGACAGCAATGGGGAGAGTGAAAGACAAACGCCAAATCTCTCCCAGACTCTTTTCTTCTCCCTCCCCGCCCAGCCCCCCGTGCCTCTCGTTTTAATTAAGAATTTTGATGACAATAGTAAAATCTCATACAAGTCTTCTTCCTCTTCCTCCCTCTCTCTAATTTTTATTAAGAATTTAAGAGTAAAATCTAATATAAACACTGCTTGACAGGAGGGGAGGGGAGGGAAGGGAAGGGAAGGGAAAGGAAAGGAAAGGAAAGGAAAGGAAAGGAAGAAAGGGAAGGGAAGGGAAGGGAAGGGAAGGGAAGGAAATGAAAGGAGGAGAGGAGAGGAAAGAAGGGAAGGGAAGGGAAGGAAAGGAAAGGAAAGGAGGAGAGGAAAGGAAAGGAAAGGAAAGGAAAGGAAAGGAGGAGAGGAAAGGAAAGAGAAAGGGGAAAAAAAGATTCTTATTTACAATATATCCTTTTCCCCTCTGGAATACTCCAAGGGACTAACAATCTAATATAAGATATCACAATTTAAAAAAGCAAATAAAAATGACTTATGTAAGGACAACTGCCTTACTGCCTGTGTTCCACAGTGACCGAACGATTATTTGCTGCCTGCTGGATTGAAATGGGGAGGAGGGAGGGATTAGATGGAAGAGCAGTGGATGATGGGTTTAGCCAACTGAGTGTGCTTCAATGATATCGGGGTGTGTATGTGTTCATATGTAGGGCCTCAATACGTGATGTACAAACAGCTTACAAGAAAGCTTTTTTTTGTTTGTTTCGTTTTTCCAGATCATTTCCGAACGAGGTCACTTATCTCCCGTCCCAAATTTGCAGCTTTCATTTCATTTTTGGCCACGGCTAAAAAAACCGGCATGCTTCTTCCTTTCTGCCCAAAGCAAACTATCTTTCAGGAGCAGGAAGTTTTAAAAAAATAGCAAGAAAACCGCCGGGAAACCACAGCTGAATAAAGCTGTCCATCAAATGATTGTATCCCCAAGCATCCTGTGGGTTCAACCTGTCAGTCACCCACTCCCAAGGCCACTGATCAATCCTTTGTGTTCGGGAAATTGGAGTGTGCAGTTAACACATCATAGTATTTGAATTTTAGTCCAGATAGTTGGATTATTAGAAGATCTCCAAGGGGTTTGGAAGACCTCCAAGGAACTAGAAGATGTCCAAGGGGCTGCCCCAAAGAAGAGGGAGTCAAGCTGTTCTCCAAAGCCCCTGAAGGCAGGACAAGAAGCAACGGATGGAAACTAACCAAGGAGAGAAGCAACCTGGAACTAAGGAGAAACTTCCTGACAGTGAGAACAATTAACCAGTGGAAAGGCTTGTCTCCTGGAGCTGAGGATGCTCTGACACTGGAGGAGTTTCAGAAGAAGAGATTGGATAACTATTTGTCTGAAATGATATGGGGGTCTCCTGCAAACCAAGAACCACCCTGAAAAACCAAACTAAAGCCAGCCACTACAATCCTGAGTTGCATTTTTTTTTTTCTGGAGAATCTGTGAAGGAAAAAAAAACAGCGCTGTTTTCTTTCCTTCGCACGTGTCTAAAAGGTTGAGCTGAAATCTTCTGCCATCCCTCTGCCTTTTTTCTCCTCCTCCTCCTCAGCCTGCAGAAACGAAATCCCTGGGAAAGGCACTGAGTAGCAGCCACTGTTTTATCACTTCTCACCAGCTGCTGCCATTGTCCTTCACTTTCTCCGCCTGTGGGTGATTCAGCAAAATCTTCCTGGGGGGGGGGAGAAAAACAGGCTTGCAAATGACGGTGGCAGATGACCAAGAGGAAGCAGGAGAATATTGCCACAGGGAGACTGGATCACAGACTAACAAGAGACGTTCTTTGGTGGTTAAAAAGTAAGAGAGAAAAGGAAGAGAGAGAGATAAGGACAATGGTGGGAAAGGGAGGAGAGAAATTTACGAAACAGAATAGGGAGGGAGGGAGAAAGAGAGAAAAGAGGGAAGGAGGAAGGAGAGGGAGGGAGGGAGAGAAAGAAGGAGAGGGAGGAGGGGGGAAAGAGGCTAAAGGAAGAAAAAAAGATGAGGGGACAATGAAAAGGAAGGGAAAGAGATTAAAGAAGGAAAATAAAGGAAAATGGTGAGATATATAGAGAATAAAAAAAAGAGAGACTCGTTAGAGAAAAAAGAAAAGGACGAAAAAGTGAGAAAGGGAGGGAAGGAAGGGAAAGAAAGAAAGAAAGAAAGAAAGAAAGAAAGAAAGAAAGAAAGAAAGAAAGAAAGAAAGAAAGAAAGAAAGAAAAAGAGGCAGCGCTGAGCTGACCCAGCGAGCGCCGCCCGCCTCTGGCTTCGAGCATCATAGGAACTCTCCTTCCCCGGAACCTTAGTTGCTGGCGCCGCGTGTCTCCATGGGGACGCTTTTAAGGAACGGACCGAGCTGTTCTCCTTCGCGTCGGCACCGAACTAGCCATGGCGGCCTCCTCAATGGAGGACCAGAGCCGGACCGAGCAGGAGCAGAGCCGCGGCCCGGTGCTTTCGGAGCTGCAGCGGGAGAAGCGGCTGGTGTGCGTGGAGTTCCCCGGCGTGGTGCAGGACGTGGGCAAGACGCTGCAGACCCTGGGGGGAGAAGAAGGGGTCTCCCGGGTAAGGGTCCCCCACCCACCCCCAGTCTCGCCTGTCCCTCCTATCATTACCCTGTCTAACTGCAGGAGCAAAGGCAGGGGGGGGAGGCACTTTGTTCATGCTCAGAGGAATTACGATTATCCTAGTCTTATCCAAAATTCAGCCCTGGCATTTGGATATGCACGCAATTTAGGATATAAATGATCTAATTAGGGTACAGAATAGGATGTACACAATTTTATATTTACAAACATACATACATATATACATAAACACACAGACACACACACAGCTACGTACTGAAGGCCATGTAATACTTGGCCAATATGACACTAGCTGTCTTCAGAACTGAAGAAGCTTCTTGGATGAGAAGCAAAACGTCTTCAAGGGGAAAAAAAACAAAGTCCAGTTGCCTTTTGAAAAAGCACTTTTGGGACAACCCTGACCTGGAATGACTGAGAATCTCCATATTTAAGTTGCGATATGAGTTTGTGGTACTGTTTTCTTGCATTTGAAATTTGCCATATTCAAAGGTAAGGCTAATAATTTGCCGTAAACCTTCAAGAAGAATGTAAACAGTCTCTTTCAAAAAGTAGGACTGGCCGAAGTACAGGTAGGTCTCCACTTACAACCATTGGTTTAGTGACTGAAGTTACAATGGCACGGAAAAATGGGACTTATGACCGTTTTTCACGCTTACGACCATTGCAGCATTCCCCATGATCACCTGATCAAAATTTGGATGCTTGGCAGCTGGCTCGTATTTATGACTTTGTATCTATCTATCTCAAGAAAGGAAATTTGGAGTTTGGGGGCAAAGTTCTAATTTCAGATAAATAATTCTGTCTCCTTTCCTGTGCCTCTGTAGTCATTGGGATTGGAACCTGACTTATTGGCTGTTGCATCCTTGTTAGATCTATGCCGATCCCAGCAAAAGACTGGAGCTGTATTTCCGTCCCAAAGACCCCTATTGTCACCCAGTGTGTGCCAATCGCTTCCCTACCTCTTCCATGCTGCTTAAAGTGAAAAAGAAAACGAGGCGGAAACGGACAGAGGAAGGAGGCCTAGAAGAACAAACCAACTTTGAAGTGGAGATACTTGGTGTCATTTCCACCCTTTATAAATTTCAAGGTAATTCATTCTAAAACACTTGGAGCTTGTGTGTAAGTAAGCCCATACATCTGCTTGCCGTACAATATATATGAACAGATGAACAATTTTGTCCACTCTCAACTTTTCTGTGTTACTCTTTTAAGTTTATTCTAGCTTACTCCACCCTTAACAAACTAAGGCATCATGAACAACTAACTTATGTACAAAATCTGTTATTTTTTTCTTATCCACTCTGGCTAGTTAATTGGATAACTTTCCAATTTGCCTATTTCCTTAGCATGTTTCTATGCACAGTCCTAATATGCGATGGGCAATTTATCCATAGGTAATTATTAGTTACATATCTGATTCTAAGAATGTCAGAATAGGTTACTGTTTATATTTATCTGTTTTGTTATTGTGCTAGCTTCTTAATAACGCAGAGTGAGAGATAAAGTCAATGAACTTACTAAGTGCCTTCATTTCATTCTACAGGTATGTCCGATTTCCAGTATTTGGTAATGCATTCAGAGCCGGACGGTAAACAAACATCCATGTATGACAAAGTCTTGATGCTCAAGCCAGAAAAAGAAGATTTTTTTATGAACGAGCTACCACTTTATATTCCTCCACCCATTTTCTCACGCCTGGACACTCCGATTGATTATTACTATCGGCCAGATGTGCATCATAGGTGAATGCCTCTCTTGTGATATACCTGAGTAGATATGTACTGGGATTGCCTTTCTCTGGAGATGTGGACTGATTACTTATAGTAAGGATCTAGCTTTCAGTAAAGTGAGTTATAATTACTGTAAATAAATGATAAGAGCCAGTACAGTTATAAGTATGGCAAATAATAAGAATTTTTTCAATAGTAGGAGTAGTTAGACTGGGAAATTACTCTTTAAGTTGCTTTGCCCTTCACATCTTCAGAAGCCTCTTGGCTCCAGCAAGTAACAGTTGCTAGTTTTGACAGTCGCAACAGGGCAGGTGTGATCTGTTTCAGAGTTGCTTCCTTGCCCTCCTGTGCCGTAACCACACAGCTGCTTAAATGACTTATGCGCAACTGCATTAATCCAAATAATATTTGGAAGGGTTTTCCGATATGTGTAATCATGCCAGGGTTGAATTCCACTTGCTGTTGCACAAAGAATGGCAGAAGGACGTAATAAGAGAGGATCAAATGCAATCAGTTGCAAAATCTCATTGACATCGGCACAGCTCCTTTTCTTTTATCAACCAAATGCCAGGATGTTTGGCATAATGTCCCTGTCCTCACTTGCTTTTCCATTCTTCGATGTAACATCTGGGCAGTCTCCCAGGCTGACATCTGTGATTTTTCCCACTCTTGTCCTTCATGCAAAAGGCTTATAAAACAATGTTGATGTTGTAGCCTTCCGTTCAAAATTGTCTTGCTTCATCTTAGAGGCTGAATTAGGTCATCCAATTCTGCAATTTCTTCTATTCTAATGTGATGAAAAAGTAGCAGCGGCTATTGGGCAATCTTTAGGAAGTGTATTTTTAAAATAAAAAGATTGCAATTAAAAGACTTAAAGCAAAAGAAGGTCAGGCTAGAATACAGGGACTCCTGCGACCACAACCGAGCCCAACAATTCTGTTGTTGCGAGACATTTAAGTTGAGTTTTGCCCCCATTTTACGACCTTCCTTCCACCGTTGTTAAGTGGATCCCTGCAGCTGTTGAACAGTCACTAAACGAATGGTGGTAAATCGAGGGCTATTGCCTCTGTGTGACAACCAACGCATTATGTCCAGCTCGAGCTGAGCTTCCTTTGTTTGTGTTGCCTTGTTCTCCAGGGAAGGCTATCGCAACCCTCCCCTGTCTAGCGAGAACCTGATCGGCCTCAGCCGGGCGCGCCGTCCTCACAACGCCATCTTTGTCAACTTTGAAGAAGAAGAGGTCCCCTCCAAGCCGCTGGAGGCGGCCGTGCAGACTTGGAAAAAAGTCTGCAGCAACGCGGTGGATCACCAAGTAGAAGGGGAACTGAAGAAAGTAATAATAATAATAATAATAATATAATAATAATAATAATAATAATAATAATAATAGACAAGAAAGAACTGGAGAAGATAACAAAATACAAAGATCTACAAATAGAAATATAAAGACTATAGCAAAGGCAAGCAAGGGTGGTACCAGTAGTAATAGGCTCCTTGGGTGCAATCCCAAAACAGCTGGAGCGCCACTTGAACACCACTGGCATTGACAAATTCGCCATTAGTCAATTGTAAAAGGCGGCCTTACTAGGAACTGCTTCCATCCTGCGATGAGATCTTTAACACCATCAAACATCCACATCTGCCTATCCCAGGTCCTTGGGAAGGACTCGATAGGTAGACAAAAATGCCAAATCCAGTCGGAACATCTGGCTGACTGTGCGATGATCAATGATAATAATAATAATAAAGTTGGAAGGGACCTTGGAGGTCATCTAGTCCAACCCCCTGCTCAGGCAGGAAGCAGGCTTGCTTCAGCTTGAAACTTCTCCCCACCCACCCCCCAAAATAGCAATGCATTCTTCGGATTGAAGAATGAGATTTTATAAAGCGCTGGGCTGATTTGTTGAAGCGGCTTCTTTGAAGTAGATTGTGCAGAGTGGAAAGAAAAGGCAAATTCAGCAGGATTTCCACTTTTTTTGCTCTTTTTTTAATGCCTGCATGAATTCTTTTTTTTTTCCAGCTTTTTGAACTGCGTCCTGTCTGGTCCCGCAACGCGGTGAAAGCCAACATCAGCGTTCACCCCGACAAGCTGAAACTGCTCCTACCCTATTTAGCTTATTACATGGTGAGTCCTTCTTTTATAAGCCTTAGAGTGCCTTCTTACAAATCCCCCACCAAAAAGAATATAATTTAGATAAACATGCATTGTTTGAGAGCACGTTTGCCCATGTTTGAGAGCAAGTTTGGTCTAATGGTTAAGGGGCTGACCTGGAAATAAGGAGACTGGGAATTCTAGTCCTGACTTAGGCATGAAAATTAGCTGGGTGATTTTGGGCCAATCACCAGGAGACAGTGAGTTATAATCCTGCCTTAGGCATGAAAATTAGCTGGGTGACTGGGCCAATCACCAGGAGACTGGGAGTTGTAGTCCTGCCTTAGGCATGAAAATTAGCTGGGTGACTTTGGGCCAATCACTGGAAAACTGCAATTCTAGTCCCACCTTAGGCATGAAAGCCAGCTGGGTGACTTTCAACCAATCCCTCTCTTTCAACCCAACTACCTCACAGGGCTGTTGTGGGGAAAATAGAGGGAGGAAGAAGTATTAGGTATGTTTGTGGCCTTGAGTTACTTACGAAGTAACACAGGCAAGATAAAAATCTAATGATAAACAAAAATCAAAAATGCGCTGCGTATTCTTTCCTACTTCAATGCATTTTACGGTTCAGAAATGACGAATTGCCATGAAACTTCTTTGGGGGAAAAAAATCACATTAGGAGAGAGGGCCTGTGCTTCTACATCCTAACCATTTTTTTCCCCCTCTAAGATTTAAATTTTTAGCAGTCCGTTTACTGCTCCTTTTATTTTTCTCAACGATCCTTTTAGCTCACGGGACCCTGGAGAAGCCTCTGGGTTCGTTTTGGGTACGACCCCAGGAAGCACCCGGAAGCAAAGATTTACCAGGTCCTGGATTTCAGAATTCGCTGCGGCATGAAATACGGTAAAAAAAATAATAATAATCTAAAACAGCAGCCAGAACGTTGCCCCAGCTTTCAGTTCTATTGTCAGTCTCTCTGGTTTTTTGTGGTTTTTTTTTTGGGGGGGGGGGACTTTCTTGTGGCTCACCAACTCATTCTGGGCTTCCCCTGAGAACTGTCCTGCATTTGTCCTGTCCCCCCCCAAGGCTTACAATCCATTGTTTCTTCATGGATCATATTTCCCTCTCTTTAGGGTATGCCCCAAATGACATGCCGGTGAAGGCCAAACGCAGCACCTACAACTACAGTCTGCCTATTACTTTAAAAAAACCAGGTACGCCGTAGGATTTGGGACGTGGAAGAAACAGGAATGGAATTGCTTTGATTTCTGCTAGGAAATCCTTGAGATAATTTGCCAAGGGTCTGTTGCAAAACGGCTCTAAAGTTAGGATGTCTGTTTTTGTCAGCTGGACCAATATTTTCTTTACAGGAGACCCCTTAACTGTTCATCTGTGTCTCATAGCATTCCTCTGCTGCCCAAATCCGAGCATTTCACACGGATTATTAGAGGATCTGCAGCCCTCTGTCTCATCAGGGCTGAGAAAGGCTTGTTTTAAACCCATAAAAAGCTTCCACCGATCCACGTAGATGTTTCTTTCCCGTCTTGAATGCCTTCTGGATGGGTGGACTTCAACTCCCAGAATTCCCTAGCCCGCATGCTTTTGCTGAACGTGATGAGGATGAGGACCGAATCATTCCGTCATTGTTCAGCAACCTCTTGAGACACGGAGTTTCCCATCCACCTCCCACTTTGTTCTTTTTATCCCAAAGAAATTAAGATTATCTTATATCCCTTTCAGGAAATCACGGCCTGGGCATCCAAGACTTAAAACAGGGGCTCAGCACATCTGGAACATCTGGTGCAAAATCACCAGTTGTGAGCAAATACAAACTTAAGGTAAGTTCTTCTCCTTCTCCTCCTTCTCCTGGCCATACAAGGAAGATCAGGCACCCTAAGGTGTCCTGCCACTTTCCCAGATAATGACTTAGTCTAACCCTGCTTCTGATTCTCTGCTTTCTCCTCCTCCTCCTCCTCCTCTTAGGATTCCATTTACACCTTTGAGGAAGGGTCGCTGCCCCCTTATCGACAGATGTTCTACCAGCTGTGCGATTTGAAAGTGGAAAGGTGCGGTATTTGCATTGGCCTGTTCGTTTTAAAGCTGTTAAAAATCAACTTGCCTTTTAGTCAAGGATTACCTGCAATCCTGTTTCAATTTTTGAGGCTCTTCAACCACCTGGTGGTCTGTGCATACGTTTGGATGCCCTTTGCTTACAACTCTAGAAAGCCAGCTTTGCCCACATGTCTGTAGGCATCTCAAGTCCCATCGCTTTCCAAGAAATTGTGCTAATGGCAGCCCTGGCTTGGTCTATCCAGGGGGCAAGTTTGTCTTGACCTCGGTTGCCAGAACAGGAGCGGCCCTGGCTTCGTATTTTGGTTTGTCCGATTCTCTGCGCCGAGAAGAATCCTTCTGAAATTGGCTTCTGTTCAGCTTGCAGAAGATCATCCATCGAAATGACGACACGGAGACGGCTTGCACGGAGCGGGACGGCTGGTGCCTTCCGAAGACCAACGATGAGTTGAGGGACACCATGTCACTGATGATACGGCAGATAATCCGATCCCAAAGGCCAGGTAAGGGGGAGGGGGGGAGAGACCTGGCAAGTCCAGGTGTGTTGGTCATGTGGATGACCCTGTATGACAACGATCGCGAGTCGTGATTGTGATGGGCGGGCTCCATAACTCAAAAGACTACCAGTCATAATGTCACCCAGGCAGCTTTTCTCTTTTTCTTCCTGTTTTAATAATAATAATAATAATAAAAGATCTTGTGTTTCTTTAGTGTTTCCCCCCATAATTCTGGGATCCTGTTTTTGCCGCCCACGAGATTTTCCAAAGTGCCAGATCCTGTACTAAACTATCACGCTGGATTATTCTAACCGGGTCTTTTGAGCCTTCTGCTTCTCACTGGTAATTCCCTTTTCTCTGTGGTCTGTTTCAGCTCTGTTCAGAAACCCTGGTTCCAGTGCCACGGGAGGCAAAGAGCAACTGACTTTTGAATCTGGAGAAGAGGAGGAGGAGGAGGAGGAAGAAGAGGTTTTCAAGCCTTCGGATGGGAGCGAAAATGAAATGGAGACCGAAATTCTTGACTACGTCTAATGCCACGGGGCTGGTGGGCTGGACTGGATCTTGGCGGAGGGATTTGTTTTGCTCTTTTTGGGGGGGGGAAGGACAGAAGAAAGAAAGAAAGAAAGAAAAAAAGAAAGAAAGAAAAAAAGAAAGAAAGAAAGAAAGAAAGAAACCCACCAATTGGCTGCATTATATCTTTGATTTGAGGGAGTTTGTGCAGAAGTATCATCTGTAAATTGCATCTTAACAGATGTTGCATGTTATTTTTCAAGCTCAGCAAATTGTTCCTTGATGTAGCCTTCCTTCAATTGCTGCGTTCAGATGTAAGATAAGAGACTCTACTTTGGGGAAATTCCTTCAGCATCTCAGCATTTTTTGCCATCCAGGGCCAAGCCCATCTACGTCCAACTTCGTCTGCTGGAGTCTCCTTCTGCATCGGCCTCTGTGGAAGTTCCAAGCACGGCCTGACGCTATCTCAGACCTTCCACATCGGCAGGCAAAATTATCATTTCATTCCTGCTCTGACTTAATGGTTCCTGTCCTTCTCAAACGAAAAGCCATTTGGAATTTCTTTCTCGTGAAGCCTTGAGAAAAATCTCCTGTTGATTCAATTGTCTGGGGTTTTGTGGGACATCAAATGGACAGTCTGAAGAGATTTCCACTCTTTTGTACAGATTTCCTTTTCAGCTTGAGTGCAAATAAAACCCAAGAGTTTTGTGCCTTCAAAATAGTTTACGTGAGATTTATTCCTAGGACACTTAGAAGCAACTCAGAGAGAAACTTTATTTTAAAATCCCATATGGAGCGAAGCTGCCTTTGAGAAGGCCCGCACTCGCAGCTCAGGCTGTGAATGTAAGAACTGTACTGGCCTGATGTTTTGATCCCAGTTTAATAAGGAACTTAAAATGTTCCAGAATGTTTCCATTCTGAATTTTGAATGAATTGCAGAAGAAGAGCAAGGAAGATGATTAAGGGACTGGAGGCTAAAACATAAGATGAACAGTTGCAGGAATTGGGTACGTCTAGTCTAGTGAAGAGAAAGATTAGGGATGATATGATAACAGTGTTCCCATATTTGAGGGGCTGCCCCAAAGAGGGAGTCAAGCTATTTTCCAAAACACCTGAGGGCAGGACAAGAAGCAATGGACGGAAACGAAGCAAGGAGAGAAGCAACCTAGAATTAAGAATTTTCTTGGATCATGAGAACAATTAACCCCTGGAATTGCCTCCAGAAGTTGTGGGTGTTCAAACACTGGAAGATTTTAAGAAGAGATTGGACAGCCATTTGTTCAGAATTGTATAGGGTCTGCTGCTTCTAGCCTAACCCCCTGCTCAAGCAGGAGACCCTATACCATTTTGGACAAATGTTATTCCACATATTTGGCACAGCCCAGGCAGAAACGTTCAAAATCAATTCTATATCCTTGTGGAGGGCTGATCGTTGTTTTTTTTTTTTTTTAAAAAGGCCGTATTTTCCCATAGTAGTTCTAATCTTTTCATCCCTCTCTAGGTGTGAGTTTTATTTATTATCTGGCAGGGCTGGGGGCCGAACTGTGTGAGAGCACCAGCTGGGAAAGAGAAAGGGAAGATAAGTTTTTCCACTTACTGCATATATCTTGGATATTTCCCTACAAAATCCTGGCAGGAGGCAAAGAAACCTGCCCAGTGGTTTTTCAGCTGTTGAGTGGGACCCCAGTGCCCTTGAGGTGCCGTAGATACTGGGCTGAACCTAGGCTATAAAGCCGTCCGTCTGGAGCGTAGCAGCCTATTCAGACTTCACCATGAATTGCTGGACTGTTCTGGGCTTCGTGGTCCTCTGCCTGGAGGCAGCAGGAGCTGCAAAGGTAATCTTCAGCTAACTAAGAGGCGTAGAGGTAGTCCTTGACTTATCACGGTTCATTTAGCGACCGTTGAAAGTGAACAACGGCACTGAAACAAAGAGAGACTTGGGATCGTTTTGTCACACCGATGCCCTTTGTAGCATTGCCCTGGTCAGGCGATCAAAATTCAGCCTCTTGGCAACTGATTCATACTTATGACCGTTGCTGGGTCATGGGATCCCCTTTTGGAACCTTTTGGCAAGCAAACATGAGCAGGGGGCTGGACTAGAAGACCTCCAGGGTCCCTTCCAGCTCCTATTCTATTCTATTCTATTCTATTCTATGTTCTACTCTGTTCTGTTCTATGTTATTTTATTCCATATTCTATTCTATTCTATTCTATGTTCCACTGTTCTATGTTATTTTATTCCATATTCTATTCTATTCTATTCTATTCTATTCTATTCTATTCTATTCTATGTTCTACTCTGTTCTGTTCTATATTATTCTATTCTATTCTGGGGCAAACTCGCTTAGGAAGTGCCTTGCTTAGCGACAGAGTTTGGGCTGAATTGTGAGCGTAAATCGAGGGCTACCTGTATGTAAAATATTTTGGGGGAAAATCAGCCAGAATCTCCCTTTGGTTTGTTCTCTTTGAAATCGGTATGAATGCTGAGGTTACTGTTGTGTCTCATCAAAACTGCCATGTCTTTCTTGATGCAAGAATTAACACATGCTTCCTCCCTTTTGTGGCATGTGCGTAGCTGGGCATCGTAAGCACAGAAGGCGGGCTTGTGGAAGGTGTTAACAAAAAACTGGGCCTCTTTGGAGATTATATGGATACCTTCAAAGGAATCCCTTTTGCTGCCCCCACCAAGACCTTGGAAGACCCCCAGCCTCACCCCGGCTGGCCAGGTAAGATGGAAAAGGCACCTTAAATTGAATTAAACTCTGTTTTCAACTGATAACAATTGTATTATAGGAAGTCCCTCGGGCGTCTTGAATAAGAAGAATGAAAAGCCTTTGTTGGCCTAAACCATTTAAGTTATCTTTTCTATTTTGATGAATGTCGGCATGTGGTACAGAGTGACTTGGCATCCTTTCTCTAGCTTTGGTTTAATTGTGGGCGAGGAGGGAGCTTCTAAGGTTGGTAACTCTGAGGAATGAGGCAGAAAAAGAAACATATTTTTGGCATCTTGCTAGACGTTCTCCAGGGGCTTTTGAAGGCATCCCTTTGCATCCTTAAGGACTAGAAAGTTGTGGGAGGGAGGGATTTATTATGAAAGTGTGGATTCTTCGTTTCCTTCTGTCCTCTAGAATTGGGATGAGGTCATTGCTTGTCAACTATTAATGTGACTCAATAGTAGTAACGGCAAAAGGGATCTCGGAGTCCTAGTGGACAATCCCTTAAATATGAGCCAGCCATGTGCTGCAGCTGCCCAAAAAGCCAACACAGTGCTAGGCTGCATTAACAGAGGGATAGAATCAAGACCACGTGAAGTGTTAATACCGCTTTACAAGGCCTTGGTAAGGCCACCCTTGGAATACTGCATCCAGCTTTGGTCACCACGATGTAAAAAAAGATGTTGAGACTCTAGAAAGAGTACAGAGAAGATTGGAATTTTGAGATTGCCCACAAAGCATACTTCACCTCAAGTGATACACAATCAATTCTGTGGTGTCCTTTGTTTCTCAGGCACACTGCAGGCTGACAAATTTCAAAAACGTTGCATGCAGTCCACCCTCACCCAGACAGATATACGTGGCTCTGAGGATTGCCTGTATCTAAACATCTGGGTCCCTCAAGGGAAGAAACAAGGTAAGGTTATGCTGGAACTCAGAATTCGCCCATAATTTTTATTTTTTTACTCCTTATTTTGCTGCTTTTGAAAACCAGATCATGCCTGGAGCTCCACGGTCTTCCAGTTCTGGAAAACCTAACACCAGCCCCACAGCAAATTGGGGTGGAAAAAAAAGAAGGTTGTGAGAAATTTTCACTGGAATGTTGTTTCAGGGAATCTAAAATAGATCGGTGTAATCTACCAAAAATGTTCGTTTTCCCAAAGGTGCTTTTCCAAAAGGCAACTGGACTTGGGGTTTTTTTTTTCTCTCCTTGAAATCGTTTTGCTTCTCATCCAAGAAGCTTCTTCAGAACTTAAGAACTGAAGAAGCTTCATGGACAAGAAGCAAAATGTTTGAAGGAGCAAAACAACAAAAAAAAAATCCAGTTGCCTTTTGCAAAAGCACCTTTGGGACAACCGTGTCCTGGATGATGGAGAATCTCCATGGGCAACGCGTCCATTGGTTTACGTGCCAAGTCCTAAATTCACACGAGATGGGATACCTCAAGAGATAAAGCCTGTTTTGGCTTGACCTGGCCTCCCGTCAACGTTTGAAAACCAGGGTTGGCTTTTTCAAGTAGCCAGCTACATTGAGGTTCAGCCTATTGGTCTGGACATCCTCAGGATGGACAATCGAGGCTGAGTTGACGGCTGTCTCTTGCCCACTTCATAATTTCTCTTTGCTTTGCCATCTCCCTGCGCTTCAGTCTCCACCAACTTGCCGGTGATGATCTGGATTTATGGAGGGGCCTACATCTGGGGAGGTGGACAAGGCGCAAACTTCCTGAACAATTATTTGTACGACGGGGAGGAAATTGCCAGCCGTGGGAAGGTGATTGTGGTGACTCTCAATTACCGGCTCGGACCGTTGGGTTTCCTAAGCACTGGCGACGCTGCTCTTCCAGGTAAGTCCGGCGTGGGAGACATTTTGCTCTTCTCCATCCTTTGTTAAGACTAACCTCTTACAAGGATTTTGGGTCGTCGTTTTAGTTTTCAGTTACTTTTCATTAGTTGCTTTTAGTAGCAAGGCTTCCATTTATTTGTCCATCGATCCATCCTGGCTCCTGACAGTAGAAATACCTGCAGGGTTGTTTTTTTTTTGGGGGGGGGGGTAAATCCTTAATTGAGGGAGGGACTGGCCCAAAGTCTCCCAGGTAGGGTTCATGCCTAAAGTGGGACTAGAACTTCCAATCTCCTGGTTTGTAGCCTGGTGCCTTCACCACTACACCAAATGCTCTCTCTTTCCTGGATTAAGAAAGCATGAATAATTTCAGGTAGAATTAGAATTCACCAAGTCCTGATGATTAGCCCAAAGTCACTCAGCCAGCTTCCATGCCTAAAGCGGGACTAGAACTTCCAATCTCCTGGTTTGTAGCCTGGTGCCTTCACCACTACACCAAACGCTCTTTCTTTCCTGGATTAAGAAAGCATGAATAATTTCACAAAAGAGGGATAACAATAGTTGCTTAATGCTTCACGTCCTCCTCCTCCTCCTCCTCCTCCCTCCTCCTCCCTCCTCCTCCTCCTCCTCCTCCTCCTTCTTCTTCTTCTTCTTCTAGGCAACTACGGCCTCAAAGATCAACACATGGCCATTGCTTGGGTGAAGAGGAACATCAAAAATTTCGGGGGAGACCCTGACAACATCACAATCTTTGGGGAATCTGCTGGGGCTGTCAGCGTCTCCTTACAGGTGAGGGGGCTTGGAAGACTCTCGGCTGCCTAGCGGGTGTTTGTGAGGACTCTCTTGAAAACAGGGGAGAAATTCTTGATGGCAGATCTTTAGTAATGCCCAAGACAAATAGGGCAACCTTTTTAGAAAACAAAAAAGATCGTCTCATCGGATCCCCTGGATCCCGCCTGGCGTGCTAAATCTCCCCAAAGCAAACCACCCTTGGCATAATCCTAATTTTGCGTTGCCTCCTATGCCAGCCCAGCTAGTACGGCTTCTTTGGAACGAAGCTAATTACAAAGTCCCTATTTTAATTCAGTTCTGGGATACGGGCGTCGTGTGAATGTGTCTCGCTTTGTCTGTTGGGAATCAAGTCATGATTCCTGGAAGGAACGGGTAGGTTTTATGAGGGCTCCTTGGTGCTGCCTGAGCTGGGTGGTTTTGCTTGCAGACGTTTCATTATCCAAACTAGGTAACATCATCAGTGCTAGAAGAAAGTGGGGATTGTGGGAGGAGGAGGAGGAGGAGGAGGAGGAGGAGGAGGAGGAGGAGGAGAAGAAGAAGAAGAAGAAGAAGAAGAAGAAGAAGAAGAAGAAGAAGAAGAAGAAGAAGAAGAAGAAGAAGAAGAAGAAGAAGAAGAAGAAGAAGAAGAAGAAGAAGAAGAAAGAAAGAAAGAAAGAAAGAAAGAAAGAAAGAAAGAAAGAAAGAAAGAAAGAAAGAAAGAGATTGCTAGATCCTTGGTGCTCTCTGAGCCTGCTTGTTCTCTTACAGACATTTCATGATCCAACTAGGTAACATCACCAGTGCCATCTGAAAGACATCACCAGCTCAGACATCCCCCTACAAATATTCTCCTTTATGAGTTAGGTTTATTTCTCCAGCAGATTTGTTTGGAATTCACTCCCTAGGAATTCCAATTCCGCTAAGGTTGAAATTCTAGGTTTCCAAAGCTTGTTCTGTTTCCTGCATGTAGATGCTGTCACCCTACAACAAAGGCTTGATCCGACGGGCCCTCAGCCAGAGTGGAGTCGGCCTGTGCCCGTGGAGCATCCAAAAGGACCCCCTTCACTGGGCTATCAAGGTAACGTAGAACCCACCCGTTACGTTCCTGGGAGTCCCTCCTTCTGCGTTACGTCCTGTCCTGGTCTCAGGGTCTACCTGAGGTGCTGGTGGGGGTCCAGTGTGGCTTCCCTAAAGTTCTCTCCATGCTCCCCTCGCCAAAGTGGGTTGGAGAAGGTAGAAGGCGGGCGTGGAGCAGCCGCCCTCCGTGTGATCTCAAAAGGCTGGCCCTAGAGACCACAGCTGGCCCATACGGATGCAGACTGGGATCTTCCCGCGTCAAGAGTGAGACAGTTCAGCCACCGGTGTCCCATTTTACGACCTTTCTTGTCAGCGTTGTTCAGCGAATCGCTGCAATTGTTAACGTTGTTAAGCGAATCCGGCTTCCCCCGTGGACTTTGCTCATCAGAAGGTCACAAAAGGGGACGCTGCGACCGTCATAAATATGAGTCAGTGGCCAAGCCCCCCCGGATTTTGATCCGTTTTGAACGGGGATACTGCAACAGACGTTAACAGTGAAACATGGTTCTTAAGTCCCTTTTTTTTGCCCCGGGGCCGTTGTAACTTTGAAGGGTCAGTAAAGGAACGGTTGTAAATCGAGGACCTCCTGTTCAGGAGGATCGGTCCCTCCTGCAGCCAAATAAACAACAGATTCCGCCTTCCAGATTGCGCACAAAGTGGGCTGCCCGACAGACAACACCACCGTGATGGCCAGCTGCCTCCGAGGGACCGATCCGAAGACCCTCACCCTGGCTTATCACCTGGAAGTCACCAACTTGCGCTGTAAGCCGGAGGGGTGGGGTTGGGAAGGGTGACCGGGGAGGGGCAGGGTTTCCTAAGCCCACCCAAAGGGAGAGTTGAGCTTCTAATAAAGGAGAATATTTCTAGCTCAGGGTTGAAATGAGGGGGGGGGCGCTTCGGTGCTGTCTGAGCTTCGCTATTTTTAGGCAGACGTTTCATGACCCAGCTAGGTAACCTCATCAGTGCTAGCATGATGTTACCCAGATGGGTAATGAAACATCTGCAAGAAAACAACCAAGCTCAGAGAGCGCCGAGAACCCCACAGTCCTCCTCCTCCTCCTCCTCCTCTCCATAAACCCCACTCCCTCCTAGCACTGATGAGGTTACCTAGTTGGGTAATGAAACGTCTGCAAGAAAGCAGCTGAGCTCAGGGAGCACCAAGGACCCCACAATCCTCCTCCTCCGCGGTTGGGAGGCCCCTGGTCTGCATCCCGGATCTCCTGCATTTTACCTGCAACTTTGGCTGGCACCTTCAGAGGGAGGGTGGCCAGCTACTCAACTTTATCCCGCCTCGCTGGCCCTTTTCCTCCGGAGATTCCCCTCCTGCCATCTCTCTGAACTCGATGGACTGAACGGGCTGTCTTCCCCTTGTAGACCCCTTGGTCCATTATCTGGCCTTCACTCCCGTGGTGGATGGAGATTTCATCCCCGATCACCCGAAGAACCTCTTCGCCAACACGGCCGACATTGACTATCTGGTTGGGGTCAACAATATGGACGGGCATTTCTTTGCCGGCATCGACCTGCCAAGCATCAACCGTCCCATGGCGAAGATCACCCCGTAAGGAGAGAAGGCGAATAGATGCTGGGCACTGGAGAGGGGGGAGAGGGGAGAGAGGCTGGTGGAACATCTGGAGATGTTTGGCTGGGCTGACCTGCTGCCTGTCGCCTTGCGGTCCTTAAGGCCACTGCGTGTGCTTGGATTTGCTACCAAAAGGGGAAGATGTACATTTACGCTGGGAAGGGCAAGGTTCCCATAAATTGTAATCCTGAAAATGGGATAATATCTTGCCTGGGTTATTTAACAGAATACCAGAATGATCAGAGTTGGGAGGGATCTTGGAGGTCTTCTAGTCCCACCCCCTGCTCAGACAAGAAACTCCACGCCACTGCACACAAATGGCTGTCCAGTCTCTTCTTGAAAACCCCCAGCGATGGAGCACCTACAACCTCTGGTGGCAAGCCGTTCCACTGGTTCATTGTTCTAGCTGTCAGGAAATGTCTCTCCTTAGTTCGAGATTGCAACAGTCCACAGGGAAACAACCACATAGCCAAGTGTAAACAAAGACTAAACCGTAGGATGAGTGATTCAGGGAACTAGGTATGTCAAGCCTAACAAGGGGAGAATTAGGGATGATGACATGGTAGTTGTCTTCCAGTACTTGAGGGCGTCCCATAGGAGAGGGGATTGACTTATTCTCCAAAGCACCAAGGTTAGGGGTAGGGGTAGGGTTAGAAGAAATAACAGATGGAAGATCATTAAAGAGAAATCCAGCCTAGAGCTAAGGAGAAATTTCCTGACTGTAGGAACAATTAATCAGTGGAACGACCTGCCTCCAGATGTTGTGCATGCTCCATCACTGGAGGTTTTCAAAACCAGACTAGACAACCAGTTGTCTGGAATGGGATATAGGGTCTTGGATGTATTCTCCAAAGCCCCGGAAGGCAGGACAAGAAGCAACGGATGGAAACTCATCAAGGAGAGAAGCAACCTAGAACTAAGGAGAAATTTCCCAAACAGGGAGAACAATTGTTCCCCAAATGGGACGGAAACGCCACGCTGGACCCTTTCGGTTTCTTTTTCAGGGAAAAGGTCTACCAATTAATTCAGGGGCTGACGGTAGAGAAGGGGCCTGCAGGAGCTGACGCGGCCTACGCGTTGTACACCCAGATGTGGAGCAACACGGAAGACCAAGAAGTCATAAAGAGGACAGTGGTGGACGTGGAGACCGACTACATCTTCCTGGTTCCCGCCCAGCAAACACTTCAGCTGCACCGAGAAAACGCCAAGTGAGCAACGAAGGATTTGGGAGGGATCCTTGGCTAGTGGTGGGGGGATATCTTGCTTTCGGCTGGCCCCCGTAGGGCTGGGAGGGACCCCAGCTGAATTAACCAAGCCAGGAATTGTTATAAACCAGGTTCAGGAAAATTGCCTAGAATCCTAGGTCTGGAAGGGAGCTCAGAGGTCTTCTAGTCCAACCCCCTGCTCAAGTAGAAGACCCTATACCATTCCATTGGTTGTCCAGTCTTTTTTTGACAACCTCCAGCGATGGAGCACCCGAGGCAAGCTATTCCACCAATTAACCATTCTTACTGTCCTCTTTCTCCCTTGCTTATTCCAGAACGGCCAAGACCTACAGCTACCTCTTCTCCGAGCCTTCGCGAATGCCGGTTTACCCCGGCTGGGTGGGGGCGGATCACGCCGACGAAATTCAGTACGTCTTCGGCAAACCGTTTGCTACGCCCTTGGGTTACAAGCCCCGGCACAGGAAGCTCTCCAAAGCCATGATTGCTTATTGGACCAACTTCGCCAGGACTGGGTGAGAACCTGGGGCGCAGAGTGGAGCAGGCAGCCATGGGGCTGGTTAGGGCCTTCCCTTCCCCCCCACTACCACCTATGAAACCATTTTTAGCGTCCCTCTTTTAAATGTTAGGTACTGCTTTTTAAAATGCTTTTTATGCTTTATTGTAGACTGCCCAGAGACCCTCTGTGAGGGAGATGGGCAGTTCTTAAATAAGATAGATGGATGGATGGATGGATGGATGGATGGATGGATGGATGGATGGATGGATGGATGGATGGTCGGTCGGTCGGTCGGTCAGACAGACAGATGAGATAGATGGACAGACAGATAGATGAGATAGATGGATAGATGGACACAGACAGACGAGATAGATAGATAGATAGATAGATAGATAGATAGATAGATAGATAGATAGATAGATAGATAGATAGATAGATAGATAGATAGATATGGATGGATGGACGGACAGATAGATGAGATAGATGATAGAGATAGATAGATAGATAGATAGATAGATAGATAGATAGATAGATAGATAGATAGATAGATAGATAGACAGATAGAAAGATAGAAAAGATAATAGAGAAGGTAGAGTAGGATGGATGGATGGACAGACAGACAGCATGGAGGCCCTAGAAAGTTCCCAGTGTCCCCCTTGGAAGGTTTTTTTTCAGGGTCCTTCTGGCAACAGGTTACCCTAAAAAAACCTAAAAAGCCTAACCGTCTTGTATGCTCAATCTACAAAACACCCACTTGGAGAATCCTCAGCTGCCTCTGTCTGAAGGAGGTTCAATTTCCTCTTCCGCGTCCCATACAGGAACTAAGCTAGTTTGTGTGTGTGTGTGTGTGTTTTTTTCCTTCCTCCACTCCAGTGACCCTAACCAAGGAGAGTCGGAAGTCCCCATTGCCTGGGTGCCTTACAACAACGAAAGCGCCTTCTACCTAGACATCAATCACGACATCAACTACCAGTCGGTGAAACAAGGCCTGCGTCAACTTTACGTCAACTTTTGGAACGTGGATTTCCGCAAACTCCCCGATGTCCGAANAGAAGAAGAAGAAGAAGAAGAAGAAGAAGAAGAAGAAGAAGAAGAAGAAGAAGAAGAAGAAGAAGAAGAAGAAGAAGAAGAAGAAGAAGAAGAAGAAGAAGAAGAAGAAGAAGAAGAAGAAGAAGAAGAAGAAGAAGAAGAAGAAGAAGAAGAAGAAGAAGAAGAAGAAGAAGAAAGATTGCTAGATCCTTGGTGCTCTCTGAGCCTGCTTGTTCTCTTACAGACATTTCATGATCCAACTAGGTAACATCATCAGTGCCATCTGCAAGACATCACCAGCTCAGACATCCCCCTACAAATATTCTCCTTTATGAGTTAGGTTTATTTCTCCAGCAGATTTGTTTGGAATTCACTCCCTAGGAATTCCAATTCCGCTAAGGTTGAAATCCTAGGTTTCCAAAGCTTGCTCTGTTTCCTGCATGTAGATGCTGTCACCCTACAACAAAGGCTTGATCCGGCGGGCCCTCAGCCAGAGTGGAGTCGGCCTGTGCCCGTGGAGCATCCAAAAGGACCCCCTTTACTGGGCTATCAAGGTAACGTAGAATCCACCCGTTACGTTCCTGGGAGTCCCTCCTTCTGCGTTACGTCCTGTCCTGGTCTCAGGGTCTACCTGAGGTGCTGGTGGGGGTCCAGTGGGGCTTCCCTAAAGTTCTCTCCATGCTCCCCTCACCAAAGTGGGTTGGAGAAGGTAGAAGGCGGGCATGGAGCAGCCACCCCCCCCGTGTGATCTCGAAAGGCTGGCCCTAGAGACCACAGCTGACCCATACGGATGCAGACTGGGATCTTCCCGCGTCAAGAGTGAGACGGTTCAGCCAGCGGTGTCCCGTTTTACGACCTTTCTTGCCAGCGTTGTTCAGCGAATCGCTGCAATTGTTAACGTTGTTAAGCGAATCCGGCTTCCCCCGTGGACTTTGCTCATCAGAAGGTCACAAAAGGGGACGCTGCGACCGTCATAAATATGAGTCAGTGGCCAAGCCCCCCCGGATTTAGATCCATTTTGAACGGGGATACTGCACCAGCTGTTAAGGGTAGAAAATGGTTGTTAAGTCCCTTTTTTTTCCCCCGGGGCCGTTGTAACTTTGAAGGGTCAGTAAAGGAACGGTTGTAAATCGAGGACCTCCTGTTCAGGAGGATGGCTCCCTCCTGCAGCCAAATAAACAACAGATTCCGCCTTCCAGATTGCGCACAAAGTGGGCTGCCCGGCAGACAACACCACCGTGATGGCCAGCTGCCTCCGAGGGACCGATCCGAAGACCCTCACCCTGGCTTATCACCTGGAAGTCACCAACTTGCGCTGTAAGCCAGAGGGGGGAGGGTTGGGGTGGGGAAGGGTGTCTGGGGAGGGGCAGGGTTTCCTAAGCCCACCCAAAGGGAGAGTTGAGCTTCTAATAAAGGAGAATATTTCTAGCTCAGGGTTGAAATGAGGGGGGGGGCCTTCGGTGCTCTCTGAGCTTCGCTATTTTTAGGCAGACGTTTCATGACCCAGCTAGGTAACCTCATCAGTGCTAGCATGAGGTTACCCAGATGGGTAATGAAACGTCTACAAGAAAACAACCAAGCTCAGAGAGCGCCGAGGACCCCACAGTCCTCCTTCTCCTCCTCCTCCTCTCCATAAACCCCACTCCCTCCTAGCACTGATGAGGTTACCTAGTTGGGTAATGAAACGTCTGCAAGAAAGCAGCTGAGCTCAGGGAGCACCAAGGACCCCACAATCCTCCTCCTCCGCGGTTGGGAGGCCCCTGGTCTGCATCCCGGATCTCCTGCATTTTACCTGCAACTTTGGCTGGCACCTTCAGAGGGAGGGTGGCCAGCTACTCAACTTTATCCCGCCTCGCTGGCCCTTTTCCTCCGGAGATTCCCCTCCTGCCATCTCTCTGAACTCGATGGACTGAACGGGCTGTCTTCCCCTTGCAGACCCCTTGGTCCATTATCTGGCCTTCACTCCCGTGGTGGATGGAGATTTCATCCCCGATCACCCGAAGAACCTCTTCGCCAACACGGCCGACATTGACTATCTGGTTGGGGTCAACAATATGGACGGGCATTTCTTTGCCGGCATCGACCTGCCAAGCATCAACCGTCCCATGGCGAAGATCACCCCGTAAGGAGAGAAGGCGAATAGATGCTGGGCACTGGAGAGGGGGGAGAGGGGAGAGAGGCTGGTGGAACATCTGGAGATGTTTGGCTGGGCTGACCTGCTGTCTGTCGCCTTGCGGTCCTTAAGGCCACTGCGTGTGCTTGGATTTGCTACCAAAAGGGGAAGATGTACATTTACGCTGGGAAGGGCAAGGTTCCCATAAATTGTAATCCTGAAAATGGGATAATATCTTGCCTGGGTTATTTAACAGAATACCAGAATGATCAGAGTTGGGAGGGATCTTGGAGGTCTTCTAGTCCCACCCCCTGCTCAGACAAGAAACCCCACGCCACTGCACACAAATGGCTGTCCAGTCTCTTCTTGAAAACCCCCAGCGATGGAGCACCTACAACCTCTGGTGGCAAGCCGTTCCACTGGTTCATTGTTCTAGCTGTCAGGAAATGTCTCTCCTTAGTTCGAGGTTGCAACAGTCCGCAGGGAAACAACCACATAGCCAAGTGTAAACAAAGACTAAACCGTAGGATGAGTGATTCAGGGAACTAGGTATGTCAAGCCTAACAAGGGGAGAATTAGGGATGATGACATGGTAGTTGTCTTCCAGTACTTGAGGGCGTCCCATAGGAGAGGGGATTGACTTATTCTCCAAAGCACCAAGGTTAGGGGTAGGGGTAGGGTTAGAAGAAGTAACGGATGGAAGATCATTAAAGAGAAACCCAGCCTAGAGCTAAGGAGAAATTTCCTGACTGTAGGAACAATTAATCAGTGGAACGACCTGCCTCCAGATGTTGTGCATGCTCCATCACTGGAGGTTTTCAAAACCAGACTAGACAACCAGTTGTCTGGAATGGGATATAGGGTCTTGGACGTATTCTCCAAAGCCCCGGAAGGCAGGACAAGAAGCAACGGATGGAAACTCATCAAGGAGAGAACCAACCTAGAACTAAGGAGAAATTTCCCGAACAGGGAGAACAATTGTTCCCCAAATGGGACGGAAACGCCACGCTGGACCCTTTCGGTTTCTTTTTCAGGGAAAAGGTCTACCAATTAATTCAGGGGCTGACGGTAGAGAAGGGGCCAGCAGGAGCTGACGCGGCCTACGCGTTGTACACCCAGATGTGGAGCAACACGGAAGACCAAGAAGTCATAAAGAGGACAGTGGTGGACGTGGAGACCGACTACATCTTCCTGGTTCCCGCCCAGCAAACACTTCAGCTGCACCGAGAAAACGCCAAGTGAGCAACGAAGGATTTGGGAGGGATCCTTGGCTAGTGGTGGGGGGATATCTTGCTTTCGGCTGGCCCCCGTAGGGCTGGGAGGGACCCCAGCTGAATTAACCAAGCCAGGAATTGTTATAAACCAGGTTCAGGAAAATTGCCTAGAATCCTAGGCCTGGAAGGGAGCTCAGAGGTCTTCTAGTCCAACCCCCTGCTCAAGTAGAAGACCCTATACCATTCCATTGGTTGTCCAGTCTTTTTTTGACAACCTCCAGCGATGGAGCACCCGAGGCAAGCTATTCCACCAATTAACCATTCTTACTGTCCTCTTTCTCCCTTGCTTATTCCAGAACGGCCAAGACCTATAGCTACCTCTTCTCCGAGCCCTCGCGAATGCCGGTCTACCCCGGCTGGGTGGGGGCGGATCACGCCGACGAAATTCAGTACGTCTTCGGCAAACCGTTTGCTACGCCCTTGGGTTACAAGCCCCGGCACAGGAAGCTCTCCAAAGCCATGATTGCTTATTGGACCAACTTCGCCAGGACTGGGTGAGAACCTGGGGCGCAGAGTGGAGCAGGCAGCCATGGGGCTGGTTAGGGCCTTCCCTTCCCCCCCCACTACCACCTATGAAACCATTTTTAGCGTCCCTCTTTTAAATGTTAGGTACTGCTTTTTAAAATGCTTTTTATGCTTTATTGTAGACTGCCCAGAGACCCTCTGTGAGGGAGATGGGCAGTTCTTAAATAAGATAGATGGATGGATGGATGGATGGATGGATGGATGGATGGATGGATGGTCGGTCGGTCGGTCGGTCGGTCAGACAGACAGATGAGATAGATGGACAGACAGACAGATAGATGAGATAGATGGATAGATGGACAGACAGACAGACAGACGAGATAGATAGATAGATAGATGATAGATAGATAGATAGATAGATAGATAGATAGATAGATAGATAGATAGATAGATAGATAGATAGATAAGATAGATATGGATGGATGGACGGACAGATAGATGAGATAGATAGATAGATAGATAGATAGATAGATAGATAGATAGATAGATAGATAGATAGATAGATAGATAGATAGATAGATAGATAGATAGATAGATAGATATGGATGGATGGACGGACAGATAGATGAGATAGATGATAGAGATAGATAGATAGATAGATAGATAGATAGATAGATAGATAGATAGATAGATAGATAGATAGATAGATAGATAGATAGATAGATAGATAGATAGACAGATAGAAAGATAGAAAAGATAATAGAGAAGGTAGAGTAGGATGGATGGATGGACAGACAGACAGCATGGAGGCCCTAGAAAGTTCCCAGTGTCCCCCTTGGAAGGTTTTTTTTCAGGGTCCTTCTGGCAACAGGTTACCCTAAAAAAACCTAAAAAGCCTAACCGTCTTGTATGCTCAATCTACAAAACACCCACTTGGAGAATCCTCAGCTGCCTCTGTCTGAAGGAGGTTCAATTTCCTCTTCCGCGTCCCATACAGGAACTAAGCTAGTTTGTGTGTGTGTGTGTGTTTTTTTTTCCTTCCTCCACTCCAGTGACCCTAACCAAGGAGAGTCGGAAGTCCCCATTGCCTGGGTGCCTTACAACAACGAAAGCGCCTTCTACCTAGACATCAATCACGACATCAACTACCAGTCGGTGAAACAAGGCCTGCGTCAACTTTACGTCAACTTTTGGAACGTGGATTTCCGCAAACTCCCCGATGTCCGAANGTCTTCAAAAACAAACAAACAAACAAAAAAAGCCCACCAACCAAGCTGACAGCACCAAGGAACCCCCCCCTGTTCAATCCTGAGCTAGAAATAATTCTCTACATTCAGTTCAATTTCTCAGATGGTTGGTGCAAGGGTTTCTTTCGCCCAACGCCGTTCTTTTCGCCCAACGCAGGGAATTTAAAATCCCTGGCTCTTCGAGAGAGGCACCCAAACAAGACAGCGGCATCTCCAGTTTCTCTTTTAATCGAAAAGGCTACTGACATTGCCGTATACACATCGCCCAGCATTAGTCTGCTACTTCCACAGAAATCGGTACAAAAACAGACCTCGCCTACAGAGTTCACTCAGCCACCCACATACACACACACACACTCACACACACACCCTTACGGCTGTGGAATCTGCTGGAGGCAGCCTCCCGACGCCAATCCCCAGCAGGGACAAAATAAAAAGCTTAAAAAGACTTTAAAAACCGGCAAGAGTTCAAGCCTGCCTCCCCTTTAATAGCATCTCGGTATCGCCAAGGGATGTAGCGTGTTGTCGCAAGGAAGGCAGACCCTTGCCAATTTTTTTTGAGGGGGGGGAAGAAGGAAGTGCTCACCTGGCTGATCAACAGAGAGAAGGTAGCCTCCAGGTAGAAACAGCCCCGTAGCTCCTTCCTTCCTCCCAGCCAAGCTGCCCTGAACAGGAAGCCACACAATCCCCTTAAGGCAAGGAAAGTAAAAAGTAAAAAAAAAAAAAATATTAAGCCTTGTCTTCTCAGGGTGCCTAAATTCCATAAAAGCCACAGATTCCCAGAAAACGTGGGAAGGAGGAGAGATTGCAAAAAATGAGGGATGAGGGATTTCCTCCCCGCCTTCCGGACGACGATGCTTTCCTTCATAGGCAGAGGGAAAAAAGATCAAACTCTTAAGCATTTTCCTGTTAAACAGGCTAGAAAAAGCATCCTTTTTTGGGGGGGGGGCATCCTAACAGTGAGGAGGAGATGTCCAAACACCCAGATTCCAGCCCGACGGCTCGAAAACTCGAGATGTTTCATTTGCGTTGACACCGCTTTTAGATTCGAATTGGGCCAGGGGATGTTTGCCGAGAAACCGGATCGTCGGATATCGGCAAGCGATAAAAAAGGCTTGCATTTCATTGCAAAATCCAGATTTCCCTGCGTGGATTCGAGGCATCGGGACGAAGGGTCCCTCTCTTAAATACTCCTCGTCTCCTAGTTGCCTCTTGGCACGGAGTGCAAAAGAAGCCGTTCTGAAAAAGCAGAGGCTTATCCCCGTGGGGTTGTGTGTTTTGTTGTTGTTGTTGTTTTGCAGTTTTAAGGATGAATCTTATCAAGCCTGGAAGCCTTCAGGTTTGTTTTTTTTTAAAAAAACACACGAAATCAGGGGTATTTCTCTACGCCTCCGCGCCTGAATTCCTCACCTCCAGCTCTTTGCACACTCGAACCAAGAAAACTCTCTCTCGAAACAACCCACGTGTGAAAAACACCTTCCTTGCACACCTACACGCCCCCCCCACCCTCAAAAGCCTTTTTAAAACGGGAAAAAAAGGGAACTTGATGGATTTTTTTTTTTTTAGACGGGGTTAGTAAAATGTATAAATCCAACCGGGGCTATTTACAAACAATAAATATCGAGGGAATTAGTAAATTCAGAAGGATGGGTCGATTCTCGTGGCGGCTTTTTTTTTCTCCTTTTTTTACAAAAAATGTATCTGAGCATCCTCAGTCACAGGAGCCACTTCGTAGTCAGGCTGAAGTCCACGAAAACGCAAAAGTGGCATTTGTCCGTCCGGGTTAGGCTCGTCAATTGGAGGGCGAGGAGTGGCCCCCACACTTTACCGCTATCCCTGTGTCCAATCCACAAATTTTATTTACACGTGTCTGTACAAAAGCGAAGTGTCTTTTACTCCTAGTGTGTCGGCAGCAGGTCTGACGACCGAATAAAATAAAATAAAATAAAATAAAACAGTGCTGTTAGATCTTTGGTGCAGGTTCTTGTTAAGGGAAATAAAAAAGGCCAGGTAATAATAATAATAAAAAAACAAAACAAAATGGAGAAGTTAATTGTCTGGTGGCTTGGTCTGGCACCCCAAAGTCCATCTTCAGCCACCCCTTTTTGCCCCAAAGCACGGGAAATCCCTCTTTCCCAGACCACAAAAGTCCATTTCAATCCCTCCGGAGCATCTCAAAGGACGAGTCTTCGCACAATCTCGGCAAAAGGAGACCCGATCCCACATCCCTCGCTCTTCTGGTACGTCATGGGAGGAGAGCACCACCCTCCTTGGTCAACAGAACGATAAGGCAGAACGGTGGATGGGGAAGTCAACGCAGCCAG